TTGAGAAGGATCAGGGAAATTCATAGACATGTCAATTATAGATCTTAGGCAGAGTGACCTTTTTCTTAGCTGATTTGGACAGCTTGTAATCCTTTGTCAACTCCTCAGAAAATGTGTCTGCAGCCTTTCTGATGTCTTACTTTCTGCTGTTTGCTTCATTCTGCAGATGGAGGTGCAGTAAGAGCCATTCTGTAGTGGTGTACACTCTGAAATAATCTCTATACCAAGATAGGTACTGTTCCTCAGAGCCACCATTTGGTGTGCAAGACTTTAGTGTCTTACCTTCCTAATATCCTCAGCTGTTGGACTGTACAGGACAAGACCCTCATACTGTACAGGGCAAGACCCTCGTACCGTAAGAAATAATTCTACTTCAGTGGGCTCTGGCAACGTAATGTGCATTTTTTATAATTTCCCACAATTCTCTGACTTCCAGTTAATTTTGTTTAGGACTGGATAATTTAATAAAAAATTAGCAAAGGCAACAGTCTACTTCTCTTACCTCTTTAAAGCCTATTCTAGAATCAGGAATAGATTCAGGTTAAGCCTGGCTCTTCCTGGAAATACAATTAACTGGATGAATTTTGGAGGGAAGTGGCTTCTGTAGGAGATGAAGCTTTGACTATACTAAAGCATACAGTGAAGTGAATGAGGCTGGGATAATCTGATAGTGTTTTATTGCCTTCAGTTACTGACATACGAACTACATAGTTTTTCTAAAGCAGTTGAGTGTTTCAGTTGTGTTAGAATGCACATACTGACTACTTCTGTAAACTCCTTAAGGCTGTAATTATTTCCTTTGATAATAACATTATTTTTTCTGAAGCAGGTCTTTTACATTGCCTTCTTAGTAGTATCCTTTCTTGGCATCCCAGATTGGTTTTGAATTAATTGAACTATCTTTGGAGTCATGGAAACCTGCTTCACCTCTGATCTGTCTGTTGAGTGGAATCCTTAGTAGATACCTTGTCAAGGAGAGGTTTAAATCAGATGCCTCAAATCAAGTCTGAAAGGAGAGAAAATTATAAATTTATAATAGGAAAAAGTGACCCTGTAGAATGCATTTCATGTTACACAACAGAATTCATAATTAATATATAGTACAAGACATACTGTACTTACATTGAAGGCACAATAATTTATTCTTTATTGTGTATGTTTCCTGGTATTTTTATGATACGCAGCAGATAGGATACCAGAAATTGTTTTAGGAATCATATCAGTGTAGCTTTAGTCTGCATACCTTTTCCACTTCATCTTGTTTGGCATCCCTTTCAAACAGAAAATGAAAATGTGCTGCTGGGTCTAATAACAGTGTTTGCAAAAACACAGTTTTCTTGAGTTTTCCTGGAGGAACAGTCATAAATTTATCCAAATCGATTTATACTTTTGTCTTTGCAATTCTGTGTTACATATACGGGAAAAAATCAGCAGTATAGATTAAAATATTGCAGCCCTCTTGAAGGGTTTTTTTGAAAAGCAGGAACACTTACTCTATATAAGTAATTTCTTTGTGTTTTCCATGCACTTTTCTTACTGAGAAGTTTTTAATAGCTTATAAATTTACTGTGGAAGACACTGCTAATTGAGTCGATGCTGTTTCAACTTGTGTCACATTAAAAGATGCCAAGTGTTAATGAGTTTAGGTAAATATTTATAATTTGAACAGTAATTTGTAAGTTTACATTGCTTTCTCTTTTTCATCAACTGTAAAAGTGAAAACTACACTGTGTAGTTCCCACTGCCTTTCTCTAAGGCCTTGTTTAGAGAAGAAATCTATGTAAAATGTTGAGAAGATTAACAATTAGGTCTGATTAACAATTAGTCTAAGGACTTAGGTTTTATGTTCAGCTCTGTTAACATGTCGGTTTTTCTCCTTTCTGAATGAAATCCTGGCACCATTGAAATCAATGTGAGTCATAAGAACTGACTGTAAGAAAGCAAAGGTTTTACTCGTCTGCATTAGTTTCTCAAGCTGTAACTTTGGCTATTTATTTTCATCTACCACTCCAGCATGTGGTAAAGTTTCATAAATTGCTTGAAGATGCTGTGGTCACATTTGAGACCAAACCAACAACTTTTATAAAATGGAAATTTTTTAGGGTTTAGTTTTGGGGGTTTTTGTTGTTTTGTGGGTTTTTTTAAAGTTCCTGTTCTTCATGCTTATATTGTTCTCTTTAAAATACAAATTAATGCAAGTAAAGATACACTTTTTTCAAAACTGTCTGAGTTATCTGACAGATTGTTGTATGGCTCAGCAAGAGCAGAATCTGCAGGATTTACCTCCTTGCTCTTGTTCTCTGGAGCCCCATTTGGTGGTGACAGTTTTTTTCAGGGGGCTGCAGCTTTAAATAGTAATGATTAAAAGAGTAAATTAATTCCTTTGTTTTGAACTCTGTTTGTTCTGACTCTCTATAAGCCACATTATGTCAGCCTAACAGTTCTTCAGGAGTGTATCAAATCATAACTTAATTTTACAGTGACAGAAAAGTGTTACAAATAGAACTGTAGGCTTCACTTACATTTCAGCTATAATGTAAAGTGGTTTGCAGGAGCAGTTAAGCAATTAAAGTAAAGGCTAACCCGATGATGTTAGAAACAAATTTAGCAATTTACAGATTTTTAAGATTTTATGTCATAAGCCTTTGGTGTTGACAGAATGTTCTCAGGTTCCAAATTTACTTGCGACTATTCTAAAGCCGATTTCTTTGTAAGAATTATCTAACTCTGCATTTAAATTTCAGGAAGGGCCTATAAAGTAAATAACGTTCTTAAAACTTGAATTGATTATTATGTCGTGTCATGGTAATCTTGTCCCTCCCATGAATCGCATGCATTTCAGTACCCACCAGATTGGTGGCTGGTCATAATTGCATACGCAGACTTTGTAAGTGTACCTGTTACAGCTTTCCTGTTCATGACCTGTGTTTTAAAGAATACTTAATATTGGAGCAGTTGCATTTGCAAAAGGAAGATGCCTGCATATTTAATTAACTGCTTACTTATTAACTGTAATTTAATTACTTGAACTTTATGTATTGGTAGGAAGGTGCAAAATGTGAAATGGATCCATTTACCAAATAAAGTGAAATTGCATGAATTTATTTTTAAAAAATTAAAAAAAAACCCCTATATTCATGACCACCAAAATTCCACTCTCTTCTTTGTTCCAGAATCGAATGGAAGAAAGCAAAGCACTCTTTAGGACAATTATCACATATCCATGGTTCCAGAACTCTTCAGTCATTCTGTTCTTAAATAAAAAAGATCTCTTAGAGGAGAAAATTATGTACTCCCACCTAGTTGATTATTTTCCAGAGTATGATGGTAAGTATAATGACATCAGAGCTCATGCTCTATTTACATTGTAGTAATAGCCTTGTCCAAATGCTAGATAGATAGATCCTTTCACATATTTTGCTCTTTAAAAAAACAAGGCGCTTTGCAATTTTTAATCATCTAAATTTTTAAAATATGGTTGAATGCTTGTGGGACTTTTAGACTGCTAGGATTTCATTTTATACTGTAATTAATTGTGGTTAGCCTAGCAAGAACCTTTAATGGGAAATTGGTGACTTTTAGAAGAGTATTGTCATATTATCAGTGAACCACATTCTGTCCTTTTTCATAAGTTGGGGTGAGGGTTTAAATGCCTTTTTTTTTTTTTTTTTTTTTTTGAGGTTTGGTTTTGTGTGAGGGTGAATGTCTGAGGGGAAGTGTCATAAGCATTCTGTGGCACTCAGAGAAACCCATGCTACTCCTTCTGCCCTTTTGTTGTACCTTTTCTTTTCTTTATTTTAATTATACATTCTTTATGTGAGGCTTAATGTGCTTGTCCAATTAAAAAAAAGTGGATTGTACAGCTGGTTTCTACTAAACTGTACTTTCAGAAAGTTCTCCTGAGGTAAAGCTAAGTATTTTGAGGTAACTGAGTGGATACCTTGGTAACAAAGAAAAATCAATCATGTAATAAGAAGTCTAAAGAACTAAATGCTCCTATTTTTAAAAAAATAAAATCTGTTTTGTCCTACTGGGGAATGAATAGCAGATTTGAAAGCTGAATAAAAGATTAAACCTCTCATGTTCAAATATGGAGAGTAATAATGGGAAAAATTTACATTTTGTTTCCTGTTTAAGGGGAAGGAAACACTGAACAGCCTGCAGTATCAGACCATAGTAGTTGTGAGACAGTGTAAGTTTAGTTTCATAGTGCTAGGCAGAAGAGAGCTGGCTCTTGAATAGAAATACGCTCATTGCTTTGAGTTTACTTAGTATGACAATTTCCCTAGATGACATCCTGAAAGTGAGAATACTCTACAATCTGCTCTGTTATCACCACTCAAATGATGATAAAGTCTGTGTTTAAATGCTTGTCCAGAAAAAAACAGACAAAATTCAACCATTTAGCTGAGAGAAATCTTTCTCCTGTCCTTCGCCATTAGTGAGGGAAGAAAAGATGGTGGACTTGTAGGGTTGTTGGACTCTGGAATTCTTCAAGAGTCTTTGTCTCTTAACTATGCAGATCTTGCTGGACTTAACTCCATAGAAAAGGTTATGGGTTTATTTTATTTTTTCTGGTGGCAGGGTGGGGTTTGTGGCTTGCAGAGCTCACCATGTGGTCCCATCTTCTGTCCCAACACACTGGCAATGTGGGAGGTGGGAAGATTTGAGGAAGGGATCAGAATTGGGTATTTTTCAGCTGGATCACATCTCCCATCCATTGTCCTTGCACAAGGGATAAAGTAGCATAGGGATGAGACCTGCTAGCCAGGATGACAAATTGGACTGATTGAATTAAGCTAAGCAGTTCTGCTGCAGGGTGTATTGTAACAGCATTGTGGAAGGGGGACTGAGGCATGCTCCGGTCAGTGTATATCACAGGAAGACATCCTTGCATGGCTGGTACTGGAAAACTGACCTACAGACTGGAATGAAGAGCTGGGAGAGGGAGAGAGGACAAAGTCAAAAAGTGGCCATAGTTGGGAGGAAGATAAGAGAAAAATATGGATGCAGTACTTCTTACATAGATCTTGAATGGATCATGTACAGACACCCTTCAAAAGCTGCTGATGAGGGAGCAGTGGACAAGAAACCTACTGATTTATATGGCAGTTCATTTCCAAGTCTCCATATTATTTAGATCACAACCATTTCGCAGTCTAAATTTAACATTGACTCATACCATTTTTTATAAATTCCTGAGGTCATAAATGTTCTTTATAACCTCAATTTTCCATGCTTGAACTTCAGTCAAACAAAAATTTAAATTACATGACAGTCAGTAGAGGTGTGATTAGATAAGCAAATTTGGATACAGCCTTTAAATAGTGCAGTAGATGTTGACAGGGTACTGTGTCTAGCTACTATGAAACTGTTTAACAAAAGTCTAGGAAGTTGTTTAAAACATTAAGTGGCTTATTTCAAAGAAATCATTGTCTTTGAAAGTCGTAAGAGTTTTCTTCACAAATACCGCAAATTTATTTGTGGTAGTGTGAGACTTATTGTTGCTGCTGTTTCTATAGCCTGGGTGACCAAGCCAAAGGCTGGACCCTGCTGTGTTTTAGAACCTGTAGAAGTGTTGAACAGTCCTCTGTCCTACTTCAGAGAGCTCATGATGTGTTTACATACCTAAATCTCAGGAAATGTGTAATCTGAATATGTTTATGTATGTACTTAAATGTACATATATGTTCATGTGCATACACCCATCTATTGCAGAATATTACTCCTCCTCCACATGGATTTGCAGCATAAGAGAAAGTACATGATTTCTCTTCCATGCATTCCCTGCCTAAATTTTCTGGAGTTACCCAAATTGGAAATGTTAGCAATTGTAAGCTTGAAGTATTAAAAATAAGGTTTATTATCCAATTATTGAAAAATAGTGTGCATGTGCTAAACTCCAAAGTACAAATTTTATAACTACTGAAGGACAGAGCTACATATAACAGTGGAGCACTGATACTTATATTGCCATGTAACAAGAGCAGAACTAAGGAAGAGAAGAGGAGGAGGAGGCAGCACAGAAAACATGCATGCTTTGTAGAAACCCAGAAACATGTTCCAGAAACAGGAGAGCAAGGGAATAATGGCCATTGGAAACAGCACTGGAATAATGGAACAGAATTCAACAATTTGTGGCTGTTCTTGCTTCTGCACTTTTCTTTTGGCTGTGAACGTGAATGAATCCTCACTGTTCTAGGCTGGAAGTCATTACTTTACCTTCTGTCTTCTTTAGAGCTGAACATGTGGTTTGGTTACATAGACGCTGCATCCTTCCGAGAATTACAGCCTTAATTTAGATCTGATAGTATCATTATCCTACATAATTTAGATAACAAGTGATGTGTTAGTGCATGAGCCTTTTGCAATTAAACAGCTTCAGATGGAGAGCATGTGTGTTTTACTGTCACTAAAGTAAATGACATTCTATGGGTGACAGTGTCAGACCAGTTCAGGATATAGCTTCATTATGCTACCTGTTAAAATCCTCATAAAACTAGTAAATGTTGCAGTGCTAAAAGAACTTAAGTGTAATTTAAGTACAGTAGATGTAGACTGAACGGTCAGCAATTCTATTAATGTTTTAAAAGATTTATTAGTATAGCTAATCTTCTGTTTATCATTCCATGCAGTTAGAAATTACCTGTTTTAAACATTATCTTACCAAAGAAGAGTATAGTCAGCAGG